GCCGGCAATGGGCAAGTGGTTTGACGTCGGCTGTACCACAACTTACCTCGTGTTGTGTCAGAAGTATTTGGGCAGTAATATAGTTACCATAAACATACCCATAGACTCGTCGGTCCCGAATCTGACCTCCTCTGGCATATCAATCGCCGATCAAATCAATATGATGTTAGCCGACGAAGAAATCGCAGACAATGCAAACATCTATAAACAGTTAAATTCACTGGAGTTTAAAACCAATGCAAACATTTTTGTAATCATTTTATTAATCGTGGTTTTAGTTGTCTTTGTACTGAAAAATAATTATAAATTAACATTATATAAATTATTTTATCGCTATAAACAGCAAACCAGCGATTTATCGCTTTGTCGTAACACTTCTGAGAGATTAACTGAGACTAACTCTGTATAAAATATTATGTATTAGAAATTATTATTTGAACTGATAATTAAATATTACATATCTCGGTGATTTTTTCTAGTGCTTGGGCACACTATCTGTAGATAATAATAATAATAAATTATAGTGGTCAAAAATTTTCATTATCAATATAATAAATACAATATGTATTTTTGGTTCAATTTTATTGCCTTTTATAAGTTATCACTAAAATTTCAAACATAGTTTGACTTATAAATACATTACTTATATAATTATAACTTTAATGTGTAAAATACAAGTATCTTACAGTTAAAAAATATTTTTCAACATTTAGATTACACTAATTGTGAATTGAATGTTAAATATAATACATAAATCGCAAGACAATCACACAATAAACCATACGTGGTATTAATGATGGCCTTTTCCGCCCTTTTTATGTGACTTCTTGGAGTGATGACCCTTATGTGACTTATGTCCGCCACGATTGCCTTTAGACCCGTGGCCTGACTTGTAGTAATCACCGCCTATTTATCACACAAACAGTCAAAAGTGATTATTTTATAAGACATGTAAAATTTATTTACAAATAATGTTAATGTTTTTATACCCTTCTTATACTCGTCCGCATTGTTCTTCTTATACGAGCCTTTAATTTAGGAGAAAAAAGGTTTAGTTTTTTAAGACTTGAAAACAAACAAATAAACACATTATATACTGTCATACCTTTGCCGTATTTTTTGTGGTGATCGCCAACTAATTAAATAAATGGAGCATTAATTTCGTATAACAATTATATTTCTAAACTTTTTAATTTATAGTATCCAATGTATGGAGAAGTTGTGTGATTTTGTGTATTTTTTGTGTTTCAAACAAAATCAATGGTTTATTTATTTCAGTCAAACCTGATTTCTTTTTGTGGTATTGTTTGCCATCAGTTCCCTTCCACTTCTTGCCCCCTTTGTAGTCGTAGTGATCGTTAAATCCTTTCCATTTCTTCTTAAAGTCTATATTTTGTTTATTTTTTGTATTGAAAAACCCATGAAATCAATTGCGAAATCCTTTGTATTTTGCAAATATATTTCTCATACCTTTGTCTCGGAATTCGTCGAAATAGGTTTTGTGATCGCCTGTCGATCGATAAGATATAATAGAAAACATTAGGAAATAAACAAAAGTTTTGTTTCAAACAATAGTGTAATTGTGAGATACGGACCGAACTCTTCCTTGTGGTAAACGTTTTTGAAACCCTTTAAAAGTAAAACTCAATTCATTAATAAAGTGCTAAATTTTTACAATTCTTTTACCTTCTTTTTATAGCCCTTGTCTTTGTAGTATTTTTTCCCTTTTTTGCCCCCCTGTCCGCCAGAACCTCCATGAGATTTCTTACCATACTTTTTACCTGTAAATTAAGATACAATTACATTAAATTATAACAGTATTTGTTTATAAATTTTAAGGTATGATATTTTGTAACTTTTTGAAAAATTATTAATCTATGACAAACCTTCAAACTGTCCATGTTTATAGTGCCCTTTGGCGTCTTTGCCGTATTTCCCATATTCTTTTCCGCCCTAAATGTGTCCAAAATCAGTGTATTTCGCAAATTACACACAAATCTACTCAGAAATAAATGTCAAAAAGCATACCTTATGTGTTGCCTTATCGCCACCGCTTTTCTTATACTTCTTATAGTCGTCGCCTCCGTGTTTCCATTTGCCTATCAATACATTCAAACAATTATTTTGTAAATTAGATTAAATATATGAACATATGATTGCAAACCTCCGTAATGCCCTTCAGTGTTCTTCTCGGAACCGGAATAAGAGCCCCCTTTCTT